CGAGATAGGAACAGTATATACCTGCATTTCGGTAGGACGGCCAGCAATATGAAGAACCAAGAAAATACTGATTCTCTACGTAAATGAAATGCTGAGCAGATCGAATTGCTTTCACGTAAGCCAGGTGTATGCTTCTGTCTATCCTCAAATTCTTTCCACTGACAAGATTCTGTTATTGAAGAGTCAAAATTAGGCATTCATATTGACATGCTGACTTGATTTCAGATGAAACTAGTTGCAGATAGAACACTGGTCTTTATAAAACTTAGTGCTACCTGAGCTGTTGCTTCTTTAGCGTCTTTCGGAAACCCTTTAACAGATCCTGAATCTATTGATCGGAAAATCTGGAAACCGTTATAGGAAGTAATTATAGTGAAGCTTAAACATTTAAGATAACAGAAGAACACAACATATACAGGAGAAACATGTCTAGTACCTGAACATGCCAATTTTCCGGATCTTCTTCCTTTGTGACATGAACTACTTGGTCACCATCCGGTCCAGCAGCGGGCATGTGGATTGATGGAATCCTGTCTAACTTAAGTAATGAATCTAACCCTGGTTTGCATTTTTTTATTCTAATCCATTTTATAGCCTTTCTATATCTCTGCTCAAAGTTTGTCAAAACATCATAAGCAGCAGGACCTTCGATCTTGCTGTGTAAATCATGCCATGGTTCTCTTGGTCCACCTGAGCTACTCTGTACATATCGTATAAGTCTTTGAGACAATACTAGTGAATGAAAAGATACAGTAGACATTCATATGAAAGAAATAAAAATTACTGCAACAAACTTATTGCCCACATGAGAAACTTAGTAGCATTGGGAAATATACCTTTAACAATGGTTATAGCAATGTTCATTTTCACTTATTCTCTCATAATTAACATGAAGAAAAAGCTACTTAGCTGTTAAGTTGCTTGGATAATCCATAAACATGGTATATGTCATATATACTGTCAAACAAAAACCTCAGTTGGAAAGCTTCAACGAGATGCCTTACTGTGAATGTGGGATTGTGAATATCGTTTTCAAAGACGGTATCAAGATCACTGAACAATCTGTGTTCAGGAGTATCATATCGTCCGTCACATAAATCTAGGCCTCCAACAAAAGCAGTAATCTTTCTAGTATTGCCAGCTGCTTGTGTGTCAACAATCACACATTTCTGATGATGTGTAAAAATGTTTCCGACAACCTGCAGTAAAAGGTTTCATTTGATTAAGAAGAAAATGATACACATGATGATTTCCATGCAGTTGCATATAAACAAAATAAAAAGCTTTCCAAGCAGTTCTCCAGCTGAATTTCTGTTTGAAGTGAATAAACTTAGAACTCTGTTCAAAATACAAGAATTTTTTTTAACAGAAATCATTGACACGAGAATTCATCTTGCCAGGTATTCAAACAGTAGAATACAAAAAAGTACCTGCTGCTTGAAAATGCTAAGCTTACTGCTAGCAGAACGAGGACAAAGAATACAGTTGACACTTGAGTGTTTAAAGAACTTTTTGGTCTCTTCATCATGAGTTTGCATTACACCTTCCTGCATCCAAATTGACAGAACAACATTTAGCAACTTACGATCGAATTCTAAGTTCTGATACCATCTAAACAAGAATGCAAAAGTATACTGAAGAAACAAATCAGTAACTAACTACTCAGTTATATTACCGTCTTGAGGAATAAATCATCATTTGAAGTTTTATCATCCCAAATTAGCAATATCACACGAACGCCTTCTTGTGACTTGTACTTTAGCATCTCCCCCAGCTCTAGCCACCCAGAAGAAGGCACTGGCCTTGTAGGTTCTCTTATGATTCTAACAAGATGATAGACAGACCAACCAACAATATATATTAGATGTTGTGCCTCCAACATGGCATGGCATATGTCTTCCCAACACTTATTATGCTTAAAGACCTTGCCATTATCTAGTAAGATTTCAGGGAGTGTTTCATCGGGCGCATGAGCGTCTTGATAAAGTGTAACATCTCCTCCTTTTCGTAGAGGAAAATAAGTATGCGGCACTCCCTTTTGCTCAGCCTCAGTACCAACACCATTTTTATACAAAGGGTTCTCTGTTGCTGGCGTATAATGGATTGACAAATGCAGTTGAGCATCAGTTTCCAAGGGAGCACCGGAGGATCCACAAATCGGGAACCAACCATTTATTTGTTTACCTTCAGCAATTTTAGTAGAAGGTATCGCCACTATCCCTATCAGTTCAGCACCTACTTTATCGTTATCCTTGACTATAAACTCTACTTTGTCTACAGCATGAGCAACTGGTATACACAGACGTTCATTCCATGTCGGATTTTCATTATTTGGAATCACCGCTGTTCGAGCTATACTTGCCCCAGCTAGACACACAGATACATAGGGATCACTAGTATCTACCAATCCTGACGCGTTGGTGCTGTCCTTGCTTTTCCAAGAAAACATGGGAAGACATTTCGCGTCTAGATTTGGAAGTGAGCATGCCTCTATAATACACAAGTCCAATTCTCCATGCAGGAGTACTGCATTTCCAGTTAAATCTTGAACATTTTCACTAGATCTTAAGGGCATACCAGGTACTCCTCCCACAGGGGCACTTGCCTGCCTTTGCAGCCAATTGTCAACTGAATTTATCATTTTCCTTAAGCTAACTGTAAAAATATTAAATAACCATGAGAAGGTTGTGCTCGATAGACCCTTGGTCCAAGGAAAAGTTCAGAAAATGCCTGGATTTATATTCGCGATAGCTAGTATATCAGATACACATTTTTCATTGATAGCTTGAAAAAACGATCAAGTGCCTCCTACATGAATGAAAGAACCACTTCCCCTGATGTTTGTTGGTAAAATATGCACTGAATTATTAGATATCAAATTTTGTTCTTTTCGTGAGACTTAAGAGATGCAACAAATTAAACACAACCTACATTTGACAATCAAATTAAATACAAAAAAGTCGCCAGTAAGAAAATTCAGAAAAAACTATGTATACACCATGCAATGATATGCATAGAAGGAACTAATTCCGGTGGATTTCAAAATAAGTGTGATCTTATAAAAAATTTAACAGATTCAAACTGAAAGTAATGAATTCAGTTGAACTCACACAATCCGCGCTAGATCTGCCTGTTGATATATTGAAGGATTTCACATTTTGAAATTGAGCTCTCTGTTTTCATGCATTAATGGAATCAGAGAGAAAATGGTGGCCAATAAGCGAAATGTTTGTCAGTGTGCATCCAAAAAAGAAAAACTTAACAGTCATACATCGGAATTGGCGGGTAAATTGACACGAATTCTTTACAAGTGGATCTGCCTGAAGTTTTTTTTAAAAAAAAATTATTATTGATATTAATTTGAGCAATGAAAAATTTTAGCAAACAAAATTCACAACGATAAAAAGTAAGTACAAGTTTTTGCTATAAAATTGTGCTAAGCTGCCAATTTTTTAAAATAGGTCATGCTTAAATTACTTCAAAAATTTAGTCCAATTTTAATTTACTTTAAATCCCACGTATAAAATTTTGGATGAATCATTTGTTTTTGCCCTAATTTTGACAGCCCTAAATTAATTCTAAAAATAGGTTACAAAATTAGTTCCATAATACTGATACAATTAGTTCATGACTTCATTTCCTAAGTTTCCCTACATAAATTATGTATAATTCCTTAATTTTACTAATTGTTTGCGTCAAAGCAAATACCAACAAAGACTATTTTATTGGAAGTATTAATACTCCAAGATTCAAATAGGTTTTGTACTAACATAAATAAGCTACTTATGTTTGATGAAATTATAAGTGAAAAGAGGTTCTCACCTTGTTTTTTTCCTAAATTTGTGTGATATGTTTTTTTTATTTGAGTTATTTGCCGTGAGGCAATAATAGAAAATATGTTAAAGTAATTTGCCGTCTAATCAAAGATTGGAATTCCACAATTGTTGATCAACACTTTATTTTTCTTCGTCGGAAGATGATGAATTTATCGCCTTAGATGGACGCAGCAACAAAGTATAGCTAATAACAATAATAATAATTCGAGATTATTATATTGCACAAGGAATCCTCAAACTTGTTAAATTGTTCAACTTCCCAACATAAAAAAACTCTTAGAAAAAACTCCTTGTTTACGTATGTATCTTGCTTTTCTCCCATAAGTTTTCAATTCAAGGTTGTTTCCTTTTATTATAAAGACGAAAATAGTCAAAAATTGAATTGTGAAATTATGAGCTTTCACAATCAAAGTAATAGTTTGGGGCGAGTCTGAAACTAGCAAATTTGCAAAATTAGACTATAACTAGTTGTCAAGTTTAATATATGACTAGTTGTCAAGTTTTTGTTAAATGTGGAATTGCTTATTGCATAATGTGGAATTGCTTATTGCATGCGGGAGGTAATTAATTACTATTCACAAAATCTAAAGGGCTACTGCTATAAAATCTAAAGGGCTACTGCTATAAAGATTGATGTAATGGACATGGATAATGAGATCTACATTACTACTGCTATTTTATCAAGACCAAACTTTACTTCTAAGAATTAAGAATTATATGCGACGGAACGGAAAGGTTTCGTTTAGTAAACTAGTAAATTTGAAAGTGCGTTATCTCTTTTTCAAATTTAAAAAAAATAAATTAATTTGAATTTGAAAAAAATAAATTGATTTAAAAACAGTTGAGTGTCCCACTTTAGAAAATATTTTTCAGAATTTGGCAGCAAAAAAAATTGTTCTTTAACTTATTTTCTATATTTAATAATAAAAATTATCTTTTATATTTTTCTATGGAGTAAAAAATACTAATTTACATGTTTTGCCTTAAAAGGTTAGAAAATAATTATTCAATATGGATGTTAGAACAGATTTGAAGAAATAATGTGATTGCATATTTAGATGCATGGAAAGAACATGTTGAACATACGCAACGTATTTATTTAGTAGTGATAGAGCGTTAAACTTGCCATTTTTATATTAATAAGTGATCATTAGATCAATTTTACCAAATGAATACATAAAATTAAACATTAATGTAATATGTTTAAAATTCAGAAAAACATTTGTGGAACATTTAATAAAAACGAGCTCTTTTTACCGAGCCAAATTCTGTCGAACGAGCGACAAACAAATCTACAAAACAGACAATTATACACATTATAATGGAAGAAAATCACACTCACATATACTATAAACTTTAGCACATTATAAACATAAAATTTTCTCCAAATTTAGTTCAGCTTGTGAGTTCTTCCTCTTTGTGAGTTTCAATGGTAACATCAGACTGTGGATAGGCAACACAAGTTAACACATATCCACTACTTATTTGTTCATCATCAAGAAAGTTTCCATCAGATTGATCAACACTTCCAGATACAATTTTACCAGCACAAGATGAGCAAGAACCTGCCCTGCATGAATAAGGAATTTCATGTCCTTCTTCCTCAGCTTGATCAAGAATATACACATCATCTGGACAATCAAATTCTACAGCTCCTGAAGGTGTGATAAGTTTCACTTTGTATGTAGCCATACAAGTTATTTTGCCACCATTTGCATATTTAACCCCAAGGATAGCTGGAAATGCCTTGAAGCTCGTCACAACTGGTTTTCTTGGCATGAAGGAGGTACTAATTATGGTGCCTGAAATACTAGCCATTTTTTTTTATCTCTTGTGCTTGGTTGTATCTCACTTCACTAATGAACATTTAAATAGGGAGCTTGTAGAAATTATTTGTTTAGGCTAATCTTCCAGGTGTCAGCATAATACGGCACAAGAGACTATCCCTGTCAAATCAGATTCTGGACATTTTGTCACCTAGTAGAGTCTAGAAATGTCTGTCCAATCTAGATGGCTGAAGAAAGAAGGTCTTCATGGGCATCCACAACTTTTGTTTTTTTTTTATGAATTGATTTTGTTTATATTCCCAGCAAAATATTGCTCTGTGATGGCGTAGGAGGAATAGTAATAGTCCACCCAGCCTTGAACAACAGAAGATTAAAATGAAAGATAACTGTAATAGCTAAAGGGAGGGTTATTTGGTTAAGAGAATGCAATTACAAATGAGGGTGAACCGTCTCTCTGCTTGCAATGTGTGGATCCCAAAACCGTTATCGTGAATTGTTCAACAGGGCCTCATTTGTAGTTGCATAAAAAAATAAACAAAAATTAAGTAGCAATGTGCATCGTATAGTATTGGAGATATAACTACATCAGAGCTGTAACTCTAGCCTTGAATCATCCAAAGTTTCCATTCTAATTTAAGTACAAATGAAAATAGGAGATTTCTTTTACAGCCCAAGGAATTTGGAAAATTTTCAGGGCTCCCCAGAATACAAGCAGAGGTACCTACCATCATTAAACCAAATTGAATCCCACAATAATACATGGTTCTTGAGGTTCTTCTTGACCTTACTGCTAGATACCAAGCAAATATAGCAGTGTCAGTCCTACTCTTCTTTGTTAAAACATCAGTCACATTTGATGTTCCTATAAATCCTCCTCACGAACAGATGTGACCCCAAAAATCCAACAGCACCTAAGTTTAAATTACAAGCCTGATTAGAACTAACAAGAAGCAAGACGAAATACCATGACATATAATTGAAATTACACAAACAATAAATAGACTCAATATGGCAGAAATGGTCTAACTGGTACTCATACTCACCGCAGAGAATTCCCAAACCGAGACAAAACATCATTGTATATCCAAAATAGAAGCTGGTCTGGAAGAACCCTGACATCTTAGTTTTCACATAGTAGTAATATACTGAGTACAGGTAGACGTAGACAGCTGTAGAGAATGCTGAGAAAAATGAAGTCCACTGCCAATGATAATTCTCAGCATTTAGCAGGAAATATGTGCCCACAATGGTCACACAGACGGTAACAACAATGAGTATCAGGAACACCAAAAGCATGAACCCGTAAACATAGTACACCTGCAAAAAACATGACTCAGATAAATTAGCAATGAGTTCAATTTTTGTCCAACAGAGAAGTAGACTATAATATCCTGCAACCTAACAGAAGGGGTTCTTTCATATATCCCGTACTTATTTGCAAGCAAGGTCCAAGCTATGGCAGAATCAAATTGTTTCTCCCTACATCCGTTGAAGTTTAACCTTCTTATTATACAAAATCACTAATAGCGAGTGGAACACAAGCCTCGCATGGGTTTATTGTTTACCTTGTAATTCCAGAAGGATGTGAAGACGAAATACATCTCGATAAATATGCTGCCAAATGGTAGCAGACCACCCATCAAGGAGATTACAGATGGTGTCAAGTACCACTTTTTCACAGGTATAGGGCGAGGAATGGTCTTGACACGGCACGGATTGTTTGGAGCACCACTGCAGTTTCTTCCAACAACTGTACCCAGAAGAGCCAAGGGGAAGGAAATGAATGCCCAGATGACAAAGACAACCACCATTGTGCCAAAGGGAATTGCTGCTAGAGACCCATAAAATATAGCGATTGTGTTCAGAACGAAACCAATTCCAAAGCACATAAATGGAAAGAGCGATGCTGTCAGAATCATGGACTTGATCCAGCTTTTCCCTGCAATAAGAAGAAAAACAGTATGACTATTGCACTTGATAAAAGGAAGCAAGAGAAAAAGTGTGCTGTCATTCCAAAGTTTTGCCGATTAAACTGAACACAGAAATTTGCACAGTGGCAGATACCCCAAAACTGGAGCCACTAGCAATATGCCCCACATTACACATCAATAAATGATAAGACAAAAGATCCCAGCTTGAACAACCTCCTTAGATGAAATAGAAGTGCCAAAGGGAAAAGGGGAAAAAGGGGTCCAATAAAATATTAGTCCCTTATAAGGATAGATATAGATAAGAAAAGAAACATACCACCATTCCGTGAGTACATTGCACCACTAACATAGCCCGAAATGAATGATGTCAAAGCATAACATACAATAAAAGTTGTAACAATGGATCCTCTCCTGAAAAGGATGCACACATACTATTAAAACTAAATATATTACAAAGTAGCAAGAAAACATGGTACTTAAACAAATCCTAATAGAAACCAGTAATTTCATTGCAATCCTAACCATGAAACTTGAAAACCAGACAGATCCATCACGAATTGCCTCTATACTCTATTCCTAAATAGATAGCCAACAACTACAGTTCAAAGGTATCAATCAAGGATCCGACATACCCAACATACAACATCCCCACAATTGCCAACAGTATGACAAGGAGGACAAGCAATGCCAGTTGTGCCCCAGTACCAACAAGAGCAGAAAGTAACACTAGGTTAAGGGGAGTCCGAAACACATCTCCATGAACAAGTTTCCAACCAGACTCTTCACTCGCATCTCTTTCCTGAGACAAAAGAACATACTGATTAAGAAAAGCAGCCTCGAAGTTGCAATTATTTTTTTAAACCATATGGATAAGCCACGAACTTGAATACTATCTAAACAGAATATTGTTTAAAGCACAATGTTGTTACCAGAGTCTCCAGGTCATCATCTTCCCGAGCATATTTGGCATAATCATTCCTTAACGTCCGCATCAATATCATAGACACCAGACCAGTAAGAAAGATGACCATCATGAATGAATTAAAGATGGAAAACCAATGAATCTGCACAGTGCATGATACAATTACAAACAACACATAGAAAAGAAAAATTGAATCTCATAGGGCTAATTAAATGTAAATCATTGGAGCAAATGAATAAAATTAAGAAAACAACGTTATCCAAGTAATCTCCACCTGATGCTCAAAAAATGGGTAATCCAAGTAAACTTCAAAGCGACGAGCAAAACTGATATTGGTTGGCTCCCATTTGACAGAATATGTCATGTCCAAGGTTCTCCCAGCCTCCAAAGGCTTTGGGCCCTCTTGAGAGATATTGACATGAATGATCTGCAAAAACCAAAACATGGGAAAGATGAGCATGCAGACTTATCCACCAAATTTGGATGAGATGATCAAATCACAAACCTGGTCCTTATTGTATTTGATATGTATGTTCTTATGTGTGTAAAGTACGTGCTTATTATCACTGTTTCTGTCAGGATGTTGCTCACCAACAAAACCTATAACACAGACAAATCACAAATGATACCGCCTTTTTTTTCATTTTAGACAAGAAAATTAAGGAAGAAAGAGTACATACCCCACATCGGTAGATCATCTGAAAAACATTCAACAACCCGGAAACAGAAGAAGGTAAAGGTCAAAGACAAAAAATAATAGAATACAAAAGAATTCAAATAAAGCAACAGAAGGCAGAACATCTGAAAATGGAAAAGGCGAAAAAAAGTTCAGCGCTGAATCAGAATTAGGTTTAAATCAACACGGCCAAAATCAAAATAAGGTCAGTCGGAATATGGAAATTAAACAATAAATAAGAGTGTACATTTTAGAAAATAACATAAACAACTTCCAAAGATATCTTCAATAAATAATGTTAATCAGCATTGCAAGAGTAGGTCTCTGACAAACAAAATGCACTCAATGTTTTTGCAGGGGTTCTGCTTATCATAAAAATATACCAGAGAATAAAGTTTGTAACGTACCAATGAAGAATTCAAACCAATAATTGTTTTCTATAGCATCCTTAAATTGCTTGACCTTCGCTTCATCAAGCTCAAGCTCACAAATGCTACCCTTGTCAACGTTTTCTATGAAACACAAAGAGTCCATGTAAACCTCAAATCAAACAAGAATAATGAGTAGCAACACTGAAGGAGATCCACATACTTTGGAACTTTATGTCAATCTGACTATCAATAAGCTCGTTTCCACCCAAAACTTCACCAAGGCCACCCCATTTGTGAGAACCAGATGCATGACAAAACGGAAGGCTGTAATAGTTGTATGTTTCCTGTGGGTTATTGTAGGGCCCAACTTTATTTACCCATAAGGTTACTGGGTCATCTGATTGATACTGTTGGACAAAACATAGAAGTCAGAAATATTTTTGTTGCATAAACGAAGTCCTGGGTAAGAAACAAAACCACAAGCATATTGCAGTAATACATCCACTTAATTATGCATATTTTGATACTTCACAAAAATTCACAGGAAACAAAAGTGAGATTAAATATTTTCTCCTCTCTAATAGATTTTTTTAGTTCCATATTTTGCAGAAGTGAACAAAATGTAGATCAAAGAAGCAGACAAACTTGCATTTTTTATATACAAGAAAAAAGAAAGGAATAGGGTTAACATCTTAACCAAACACCACCAGGCAGGCACAAACGAGAAAAGATACCCTAATATAAGACGCCCTTAACCACATCGGTCCATTAAGTATCACTAAGTGCTAGATCTCATTAGAGTGGAAGAAATACTCCTCCATAGAAAATCCTAGACCCTCACCCTCGAAAAAAGGAACAAGTATATCCTTCTCAAACCTCTAGCTCCTTGATTTTAATGAGGTAAGATCAATTATATCTAAATCAACACACTTTTTGAAAAAGGAAGAAGATGATCTACAGCAGAACTCCAGATAAATTTATTGAAGGCCTTAAGCCCTGTCAATGCTTATGCGAAGATTTGAGCAAGCATCACCTGAATAAATCCTTGAGCCAGAAACTAGATGTAAAATAAAAACAAAGAGAAAAATTTCATTTCAAACAGACACATATGACCTCTGAGCAAATTTTTGTAATTCACTTCCTAAGCCAAATTTAGGTTGAAACCAATTTTAT